GGAAGTGTGGCCACCTCAGTCAGCCACGTGGGAGTCCAGTGCCTTAACCACCTCACCACCTAATGGCCCCATGGCTAGTATCCCTTCCTCCCTACCTCCCCATCACTCCAGGTTTCTGTGGAGAACACTCAAGGACAGAGGGAATAATGGTGAGACCTAGGCCCACAGGTACCTGGGTTTCTCTGTCTCCTTACCTGTGCTCCCCGAGGTACCCATGGCCAGGGTGGGGCTGGGAGGTGCCAGAGGATCTCAGGAAACTCCGTTGTTCTGCTCGGGGAAAGGGCTGCAAAGGCGACTGTCCTGGGGCACCGGGGGCAGGGGACTTGATGGCGATTTGTCTGGGGGAGTCATAGGCACTGGAGTTGAGGAGGAGACAGGGATGAGGGGGCAGAGAAGCTGGGCAAGCTTCTTTGAACCCTTCATCCCCAGAGAAGTGAGGCCACAGGGATTATGGGAGAAGGGAGAGTAAAGGGGGCTAGGAAGGGAAGGGCAGGTGCCACAGAGTCAGCCCCATGAGAATTCTCTCTCCTTTCATCAGTCCTGAAGTGTGGGCCCTATCTTGACAACACCAGTCCAGAGCAAGTGGTCTAGGGGGGAGGGCTCTCGGAAGCAAACTCTCTTCTGCCTTAACATCCTGAAGCCCTCCACTGCAACTTCCACCCTTACTACTAACAAGAAACCCTGAACTGTATTGCTTTCTTACAGGAGCCAGGCGGTCATTTCTGTTTTCTAACTTGCATCTCAACTGCTGCCTCTGCTCATGGGGCCTCCCTTCCCCCCACCTCCCTCCTCCTGACACCCTTACCCTACCCTTCAGAGAGCTGAGCTGGGGCTCACCTGGAATAAAGGCACTGTTCGCCATGGTGGTAGGGGAGTGGTGGCTTCCTGCTGCAGGACAGGGCCGGTTCTGTGCGGGGACTCTGGGGCTCCTTCTTGATCCTGGTGGTGGGGCTGTGGAAAGCTACTGCGGGAAGTTGGGTGGGGGCCAAAGCAAGGCCAGAACACGTCACACAAGGGGCTGGCAGGACTTCTGACGTCTCTGCTCTCTGAGGATGGGCTGTATGACGGGTATACTGCCTCCCCTCTCTGGGTGTCAGTTTTCTGAGATCCATAGTCAGGTATTATTAAGAACATTTTGGCTATTTACATTATGTCTAGTTTTATACATCAGGCTGATGACCAATAGTAACCCCAAAAAGCTGTCTGAAGTTCAACATTTAAGGTAATCCAAAATCCCAGGAAACATCTTCGTTAAGACAAGCACTTCCAACTTAGGGTCTGTGGCTTTCCTGAATGCTCTGGAAAATTCCGAGGGATGGAAATGTTTTCTTATTTGGGGATATAAAGAATCTTTCTTTTTCTGGGTAAGGTTGGATATTAGCCCACTTGAATGTCAGCTGAATAACATTATACACATGCTCCTAATTATCTGTGAAGAACACTGGCCTTTCCTGCAGCCCCTGCTGGGTTCCCCAACTCCAGCCACTGGGCTGAGTAGGCAGAGTTGGTTCCAGGATGGGGTGAGGGAGATTTGGTCTTCCTGAAGCCCAGTCGAGGGTCCTGTACTTGGCTCTTCAGGTACCCGCCATTTTCGAGTACTTGTGCTCTGTTTTGTTTCTTTGATGAAGTCAGTTGAGAGCCAAGGGTCTGACATAGAAGCAGGGTTTCTCAATAGGGGCACTATTGACATTTGGGGCAGATCTTTTTTTTTTTTTTTTTAAGAGTTTTTTTCGCTGTAGGGCTCATGCGCTCACCCGACAGACAGAGAACCAGACAGACAGAGAGAGACATAGAGACAGAAAGCGAGAAATCACCCCCCAGGGGGGATGGTTACGCCGCAATCCCTTCTCCTCCATTCTCCTCTCGGGATCTTGGGCACGCACGCGCATGCTCCCGGCGTGAGTTTTAAGTCACCGGTCCGGGATGTGAAACGCGGCTGACTACGTGGGAGTCCAGCGACATAGCCATTACGCTAACTGCTGGTTCCCTGGGGCAGATAATTTTTTATACTGCAGAGTGAGATGGGTGGTTGTCCTGAGCACTGTAGGATGACTTTTTAAGCAGTATCCCCGGCCTCCACCCACTAGATGCCCACTAGTGTCCTACCTCCAGTTGGGACAACCACAAATGTGTACAGACATTGCCAAATGTCTCCTGGGGCATAGCATCACCCTGGTTGCATGAAGGTAACTCAGAACATTAGAACTGGTCCCTACTGAACAGATCTGAGCCCTTCACCTCAGCCAGAAAAAAATGATAGGTCAGAGATCAAATGTCTGTTCCAAAGTCACACAGCTAGGACAGATCGGGCCCTGGACTTGAAACAAGGTTCCTCGTTACTTCCTAGGTCTTTGAATTCATACCCAAAACTGGGGAGCCCTGACCTTTACCCTTTTCTTTAGGGGAGAATAAGCTGATCTTAGAGATTCTGCATCCCTATGACTCATTTCCTGCCCTCCCCTCCCCCTCTTCCCTCTCCCCAGGGCCCTCTACTTACAGTTTTCTGAATGGAAATCAGGGACAAACTGCTCATCACTGTCTGGGACCTGAGCTGCAGAGAGAGGTCAGAGGTGAGTCTGGGGTGCATCCCTGATGGCAGCCCCTAGGAGGTACCATATTGCAGCCTTGCAGATAAGCACCAGCCCAGAAGGGCACAATGGACTTTTAGAGCATGGCACTCCACTCCAGGTCCTAATGCCCTCCATCTCTGGCCTCCAATAAGACCCTGAGACGAAAGACTGCTGTATTCCCAGAACCTGTCTGAGCAGATTCCGGAGTCTCTTCCTGGAAGCTTTGTCTTTATCCCCTCCATTTTTCCAACAGCCTTGCCCCTTGGAGTTTACAAAGCTCCCTCAAAGCCTTCAGCAGAAACACAACTTGGGGGGCGGGCATTGCAAGGAATGGGATCTGGAGGATTTAGAATCCCACTGAGGAGGAAACTCAGGAATTTGCATTTTAACCAACTTGCTAAATGACTTTGAGGTACAGAAGAGTCGGAGAGTCTGGGAAAGGAGATGGAAAGAGTAAGTTCAAGAAAGGTGGGGGAACCAGCAGTTAGCGTAATGGCTATGTCGCTGGACTCCCACGTAGTCGACCGTGGTTCTCGTCCTGGACCCAGTGGCTTAAAACTCACACAGGGCGCATGTGCGTGCGTGTCCAAGATCCTGAGAGGAGAATGGAGGAGAAGGGGGGTGATTTCTCGCTGTCTCTCTGTCTCTCTCTGTCTGTCTGGCGAGCACCCTATAGCGGAAAAACCTATCCAAAAAAAAAAGGTGGGAAAAGGGAGCACATAATGGGGAACCTGGAGGTAGGGGGTGCAGTCCTCATCCCTTTGATGTACAGCTAGGGCCAGGAGTTTGTAAGTCAGAGGAGCAGCTCCAGGGTGGGTGGAGCTGGGTTTGGGAGTTGGCAGAAAAACTAAAATAGAACAAAGACTCATCCACAGCCTCCAAGTGGACATCCGGACTCTGCTTTCTAGTTTTCATCCTAGCTTCCCTCAGATGGGTGTATCACTAAGTACCCTCCTTGACCTCAGAGTCTTTTCCCACTTTCCCCCCTCTCAAGAATAAATATGGCAATGTGCCCAGCTGGGCTGGTGCAGCAGCTGCAGGCTGCTCTGCAATGCTGAAAGCCACATACAAGATTGAGGTTCCATTCCTGGACTGACTTATACATGCTGGGCACACATGATCCTGGCCAGCCAGCAAGGCTGGCAAAGAGGACTGTACCTGAGACCCTGTTGAGGGTGCTTGTCTTTCTCTCTCCCTTCCCCACTCTTTCATTAAATAAATAAATAAATAAATTTTAAAATAAGTAGATAACAGGGCCAGCCAGTGGTATGGAAGTTAAGGCAGTTGAATCCCTCATGGCTGACTGTGTATTCGAGTCCTGGACCTGGTGGCTTGCCAGGAGGACCAGCAGATGGTGTAATGATTATGTCACTTGACTGCCACATAGTCGACTGTGGTTCAAGGCCCAGACTCGGTGGCTTTAAAACTCAAGCCAGGCACACATGTGCATGCATTTCCAAGATCCTGAGAGAATGGAGGAGAAGAGATTGTGGTGTGGCCATCCCCTCTGGGGGTGATTTCTCACTTTCTGTCTGTCTCTTTGATGAGCACATGTGCCCTATGACAGAAAACTTGACTGCCACATAGTCGACTGTGGTTCAAGGCCCAGACTCGGTGGCTTTAAAACTCAAGCCAGGCACACATGTGCATGCATTTCCAAGATCCTGAGAGAATGGAGGAGAAGAGATTGTGGTGTGGCCATCCCCTCTGGGGGTGATTTCTCACTTTCTGTCTGTCTCTTTGATGAGCACATGTGCCCTATGACAGAAACCTCTCTCTAAAAAGAGAAAGAAAGAAAGAACAAAAGAAAGAGAAAGAAAGAAAGAAAGAAAGACATTCTAGGTGCCTGTGTGCATGCCCCAAATCCCAGAGAATGGAAGAGAAGGGATTATGGCGTGGCCATCCCCCCTAGGGAGTGTTTTCTCACTTTCCCTTTCTCTCTCTTGCAAGCTCATGCACTTTATAACAAACTAAGGAACTAAATAAATAAACAGATCACAG